TCATTGTGGATTTTTCTCCTAAGACAAGTTGCTTCTGTCTTGCAGCTTTCACGGTTCTCTCTGGCTTTGACTATTGAAAGTGTGATTACAACGAGTCTCCTTGTAGATCATTGAGTTCGTCTTGCTTGGGGTTTCTTGGATGTCTATGTTCATGTATTTCAGCCAAACCGGAAAGTTTTAAGCCATTATTTCTTCAAGTAGTCACTCTATCCCAAATAGCATCTCCCTCGTCTCCTCCTGAGACGTCCACAACGTGTATGTTTTTGTCTGCTTGATGGTGCACTAGAGGTCCCTCAGACCCTTCAGTTTCTTTCATCATTGTTTTCCTTTGATGCCTGAGACCAATAGTTTCTATTGCTCTCACTTCAGTTTTGCTGATTTTCCTTCCACTTGCTCAAATGTGCCATTGACTCCGGCTAAGTGAATTTTTTATTTTAGTTATTGTACTTTTTCACCCCCAGAATTTATACTTCTTAGGTTGTCAATTTCTTTATTAATATTTCTGTTCTGTTCATAGTTTTTTCCTTGAGTTTCTTCACATCTTCCTTTAGTGCTTTGGGCACCTTTAGGAACATTGTTTTAACGTTTCTGTCTAGTAGATTATGATTGTTGATTAACTTATTTTTCTTCACATAGGCCATACATTCCTGTTCCTTTGCATGTCTTGTGCTCTCTTTTTAAACTGGGTATTGTGTCTACTGATTTTATAACTCTAGAAATTAGGTTCTCCCTCTTCCTCTGCATTTGCTGCTTTTCGTTATTGTTTTTTTTCTTGATTGTTGTAGGCTGTCTCTGTGCCGATGGTCAGCCCGAGGTGTAAACTTCAGGTCTTTTCTGATTCTGTGCCTTTCCTGGGGTTTGCACAGTCACTTTTTAGTTTTTCTATATATGGAGCTGTCTTTACTCTCTGTCTCTCAAAAAGGTGAAAAAAATAAAGAGGGAAGAAAAGGCACTGGCCTTCTACATCCCTTTGAATTCACTTCACCTTGAGGAAGAGGGTCTTGCAACAGAGGAGGTACAACACAGTCCATGCTAGCTTCTCTGCTCCTCTGTGATCAGATGCAGCCATCAGTGGTCAGAGCACAGATTGCTGATAGTTGGAAGACAGAGTTACTTTTTTGGCCACCCTGGATTCTACAAGCTGTGTGCAGGTTGCTCCAGGATCACATGCACAGCTGCTGTGGGGCTGAGGGTTAGGGATGGGTGTCTGCTATTCTACCAAGAGCTGAAATTTCAAAATGACACTCTCCATCCCCTGTCAGTTTTCTCTGTATTGGATCTTTATACATTTGGTGCCCAAAACATAAACTAATAATTATTTTAAGTGCATTCATCTCTTGATTTATATACAAAATGTAGCTGGTTACAAAGCTTTTCCTGGAAACTGCAAACCTTCAATAAATTCGAGCTTCAAAATAGTTCCATCAAATTCTGTCAGTACAGTTCCAACTTGATGGATAGGTTAGCTGCCCAATCTAGGACCACGAATTACACTAATTTTTTTTAACCTCCATGTCGTTCAGACCCAAGGCTTTTATTTATTTTACTGATCTAATGTAGAGCAAAAGTCCCTATATGACACATACCTCTTTTATTTCTAGCTCCAAGTAGAACTGATAATAAAGAACTGGAAAGAGCAGCATAATTTTGGTTGTAGCAAAGTTTAACAACAAAAATTTATGCAGCAAATTTTAGTTTCATTGAATAGCTTACCAGATCATGAATGAGCAGTCCTTACTATGTAAACATTCTATGTAATTTTATGTCATTCCCAGGATCCCCTGTGGTCTAATAGTGGGTTGGATTCTACATTGACAAATATGGATGAACAGTTGCTTTTCTTAAAAAAAACAAAACAAAACATTTTTACCAGTGATTTTCAGTCTAACTCCATGATTATGTTCTTGCCAGCTGCCCACAATAGTTATCATCAGCTGGATATCTTTCTGCGTCTCAACTTTCAGATCTTTAAGTGGAATTTTAAACATAATTCTACTTTTTTCCATTCCCAGTACTTATGTAGAACAAATGCTAACCATCCCAAGTATGGTAGTTTTCCATATTTTGAAGATCAATTTATTTTCACTGTGTGTACACGTGTATGGATACTAATAAAACTTTATTGACACATAATAGGAAACAGTACTCAAAAGTAAAGATACAATTCAGTAGTTTATCAAAAAGCAAACACCTGGAGACACTTCAAAGTAAAAAAATTACCAGACAACTTAAGTTTGCTTTTTGCTCTAGTCACTACCTCCCTTTCTCTTCCCTAAAGCACTGGGTATCATACAGCATATATTTTTTACGTGTGACATTTTTTTTTTTTGCTTAATGTCATGTTGACCAAACTCATTCACTGCTATATAGTGTTTAATGGTGTCATTATATCACCCTTCATTTATTTTCTATTCTACTATTGATGGACATTTATATTAGTGTTTTTGGCCCTCTGATTAATGTTGCAATGGAAAAAGTCTTACTTACGTCTGTTGTTCACACATACATGCATGTAGCTGTCATACAGTTACAACCAGCATGACTCATGAACAAGGACTGTCTACGGTCTATTTCACTATGTAATACTTAACTATATTGCAGTGTTTGTAAAACTGTACTCCAGTAAGCATGGTGTGACAGATGTAGCAATTACATCCTCACCGACACTTGATGTTGTTAGTCTTTATAATGTTAGCTATTCTTATAAGAATACATTGGCATCACAATGGAGCTTCAGATTGCATTGCCTTGATTATTTATACAATGGAGTACTTTTTTGAGCAATTTAGCTATTCTTTTCTGTGATATACCTACTCAAGCCTAGTGCCTAATTTATGCTGGGTTAGCTGCCTCTTTCTTATTGATTTATGTGATCGTGGAAATTTTGTTATATTAATTAATATTAATAAGATCTGAAGTGTTATGCCTGTTTTCAAATTACTGATATTAATGATTCATTCATTGCTTTTTACAAAATCATTTTGCTAGGGTTTATCAATTTCATTGTCTTTCAAATAACCAGTTTTTAACCTTAATCTTTGTTGATATTGTCTATTTTGTATTTGTTTTAAATTTCATGATGTTTTCTCCTATCTTTATTATTTTCTTCCTTCTTTCTTGGAGGGTAAATTAGCTGTTATTTTCTTGATTTCTAAAAATCAAGATTATTGGCTTTCAGCCTTTCTCCTTTTCTAATGTATACACTGAAGGCTACAGATTTCACTCTAAAGTTCCCAAAGTTTGATATACCATATTTCATAATATTTAAACATATTTTCTTATTGTCATTTTGATTTCTTTTTTGACCTACTGGCTATTTAGAAGAGTATTTCGTAATTACTCTACAAGGTTTTCTAACTATAGTTATTGACTTCTCACTGAAATGTACTGTGGCCAAAGAAAATACTCTATAGAATTAAAACCTTTAGTACATGCTAAGACTTGCTTTATGGTTCAATTTCTAGTCAGTTTAGATAAATGTTTCATGTTTCATATTTTCTCTTAAAAATAACGTATATTCTTAAATTGTTAGATGTCTACATAGGTAACTTAGATCAATTCCCAATTCCATTAATTAGTTTGTTTATATTTTTAATACTTTCACTGAATTTTATTTGGTCTGTTCATTTGGTCAATTACTGACAGAAGTATTTTTAAATCTCCCATGATGGTATTATGTTATCTCTTTTAAGTTCTGTTCTTTTGTTGTTGTTGTTGTCTATATTTTGAAGCCACATTATGAGGTATATGCACACATAGAGTTGTTACACCTTCCTGGTGCCCTGAAGATTTTTCATTGGGAATTGAATCTTCTATTCTATTCTTCTATGATGCAAGCAGTTGCAACATTACTGAAGATACCTGTGCTTTGCCTTACCTTAACTAATTAGGCTGATTAGCAGTCAGTTGTTGGTCCCACAGTATTCATTGCTATCTCTCAAAGTCACAGCCACATTCTTTCTTTCTTGATTTGGCAACTCAATGCACACATTCTCTCCTCCTATACATACTGTGTTCCTGAGATAATCACTTATCCCAAGTCAGGCCACTTCTCTCAAGGATTTTTTTATTTTGCAGTTGGGGAAGTCAAGGTTTCCACTTGTTTGCTTTGAGGTATTATGATCCCAAAGTTTCCAGGGACCACAAGAAGGGAGTTTAAAATTGAAACTATGAAAGTTGAGGCGAGATGATGAGGAGAAATATGAAGGCCCGAAGGGATCACCTGAGCCCTAAATCCAGTTGTACCTGAAGATTGCGGGTTCCTACTCTTTAGTCTCAGTCTTAGACCCTTTTAGTATGGGAGCCAGTAAATAGTTTTCTTTTCCTGTAGGCCGATTTGACTTTTTGGTACTCACAATTGAAAGTTCTGACTTCGTGGATCCCACCGTTCCTTCATAATTCTTGTCCAATGTCATTGTATTGTTCCTTCGATGCCTCTCCCACTAGACTGTAGTATCCACGCAAACAGCAGCAGCAGCTCATTGTTCAGAGCTGCATCCCGATACCCAGAACAATCTGACCTACTACTGGTACTCAGTAATACTGAATGACTGGAGAACCCAAGCCAAGAATTTTCTTAGCCATACTCTCAAAGGTTTTATGAAATTAACACTATGGAGCTATTTTTATGTGCATGAGAGTTTTCAGTTGGGTTTCAAAACGATGATAGTATTTACACACAAACACATACATCTACAGGAATGCACTTAAATTTATCTATCAGTCATCTTCCATAGAATTAACGATTGCCCGTGATCTCTGATGTGAATGAAATTAATGCCCTCCTTTGCTGTTTGAACCTGGGCTATCGATTTCTCCAAGCTGTGGTTTGCTTGACAGTGAAGAGTGCTTACCTCCAGGTAGACACTTACTAACAAGGCTCTTGGAAAATAGAATTACTAATAGTACGAAAGAACTAACTAGATAACCAGAAGGGAAGAGAGAACTTCTGGTCAGCTCAAAACCAAAGTGCTTGAGTGGACAAAACCAAAGGCCAGGGCTGCATAACACTGACATTTTATTAGAATTCATTTGTAACAAATGGAACTTGTGTCAGCAAAGAACTGATTTTCATACAGACTTCTTTCGCCACCAATGTAACGAAGTAAGAAAATAAAAAGCACGCCTTTCATTCTGTAAAACATTTACGCGTACTACTAATTAGAGGTAATTGTATTTTTTAACAAGCCATTTTACAAGTAATTTTTTTAAATTTCTCAGTCTATGCATCCAAAACGAGAGCAAAGAACACAACTGTTATCATCTTTGTAAAGACACTCCAAGCTTGGATGGCAAAGCCACATAACGGATGGATAGGGCGAATCTGTAGCCTTCTGGTCTCTGCTGGAGTATCAGGGACCCATAAACCCAGAAAAGAAAAACAAAAAGGGAGGTGAACATAGAAGAGGGGACTAACACAAAGCAGAATCAAAGATAAACAGGAAAGAAAAAAACATGTGCATGCCTGCAGACTTTTTTCCCTTCCTGTTTCTATGCTGTGTTATTTACATACACACAAATGAATTTCAGAAGCAGTTTCTTACAGATGGGTTCAAGTAATAACATTATTGGGTGTAGAATCAATAGGGCAGTGCATAGTACAAAGGTATAGAAAGTGCAAAGTTCCCTAGAGGCCCTTCCCTCCCCTGGCTGTCCTCGCCGTCATCTAACCATGCAAATCATTGTTAAAAAAGAGCTAAAATAAAGTTCTGTACAAATCACTTTTTATATATTTTGATTTTTTTACCATTGTAACTAATTACAAAATTATACATAACTACACGTACATAGGTAAATAATAGCACCGTACTGGTTATGGAGATGAAAATAATCGGAAACTTGGAAGTGTATGGTGATGGCAGATAAAGATGTTTACCCGGGAAATTAAAACTTGAATGGGTGTACAGAAAGCACAGAGTGGAATGCACATCAATGACGGTAAGGGAGTGAGTTCTAGGAACAGCTCCCGAACAGTAAATAAGATTCCTGGATTCGTCTCCACCTCGTTCGTCTATGGTATGCATCCCATTCATTTTCTTCTCGTGATTACTGTCCGCTTTCCCTTTGCCAAATGGGCAGGTCTGTTTCGGGAGAGAAGCTGCTCACTGGCCAATCATTCTGGTGTGCGATACTCCACCGGAGTCTACATGCCCAACATGGCATGTCTGGATGATGCAATGTCTGTCTGACCCCCTTTGTTTCACTAAAAGAAAATTATAGCACTGAGTAATCTGGCACTTGGATAAATCTCCAGAAGATGCAAACTAAAACAAAGCAATAACAGACGCACACAGTACACATTCTTCTCTGGTTCTGATGTAGGTTCGAGAGTCTCATTCTGAGGTAGCCTTCTAGATACTTTTTTTTTTTTTTTTTTTTAGTATTATATATATTTTCTTTTTTTTTTTCTTTTTCTTTTTCTTTGTTTTTTACAAAAGTGCTCAAATACAATGCTTGCGAGTGTTTGGTCTCTTGGATTTCATTCTGCTAGCAATGGGAAAATGTGGGAAACAAAAATCCTTCCATGCAGAATATCCTTGAAGCTAAAATTAAACCAAAGTATTATGCCTATACCAAAACTCTTGAAGAGTTCCTTGGGTATTCTGAGGATTCTTTAACGTCATGTAAAATGTGGCAAACTCATGCCATCATCATGGCTTCCTATAGAAATTATGTTGGGAGAATTGGGGGTGATAAATATTGTTTATTTCCCTCTTAGAAAAATCCTAATGGAATATCAAACATATTCCAAGGTTGCCGATGACGTCTGCTACTAAAATAAGTTTGGTGCAGTTACTGCAAGTTCCAGAGCAGATTTGGAAGGGATTATAAATAAAATGAGTAACTTTTCCTGATGTTGACGCTTACAAAAAGAAGAAGGGCCCTGATTATCCAAGTGCTTTGGGCTGGTACAATCACTAACATCCCCGACTTGGCTGAAAACTAGGAATGCATATTATTCAAAGAGTTTTTGTACATGTGGTAAACAGATAATGCTTTAATAAGAAAGAGGAACAGATACGAACAACTAATGAAAATACGAACCGAAGCTGAAAAGAAATGCTATCAAAATAGGCATCAATTATAAGGCACTCTAAATGCAAAACTAAAATCAAAACAAAACAAAGTACAGCACTTCCCAGGAATGCTGTATGCCATAAAATGTTTCTGACCGAACAGAGTAACATGAGTTTGGCTTTGCCCCTGTTACATATCATAAATGCAAATTTCATAGCACATACTATAGACAATATACGATTGAATACACTGTTTTTTAAACAACTTGATAGCTGATATATTACAACATTCTCCCATCCTAAAGGGATATGCACTGACCTTTCCCACATGCACACCTCTTAGATATTTAATATTTTTTTTTATTGCACTAGAGTGTTAGAAGTATTGAACTTTGTTGGAAGCCTGGCTAACAAAACAGGATTTGTGAAGATGACGGGGTGGGGTGGGGTGGGGGTGAGTGAGAGACTGGGGAGGAAGTTAGGGGGTGAGGTTTGACAATCACTGATGTGCATTTCTCATTTCCCTTTCAAGGAACCAAAGTTTTATGATATTAAAAAATACCGGGATGCCATAAAATTGAGAATAAATCGAAAAAATGTTGACAACAGTTTTTCTACATTTAGAAACAACTCAATCATGGAAGAACTGACCGATAGCTAGATCTCTTTTTTTGTGTGGACACACTGTCTATATATACATAAACATCCTTATAAAGTATGGATATAGATGTATATATGTTAGCAGCAACTTTATACTTTGCGCCTCCCTGTTGATTCCAAAAACAAAACCAAAAAACAGAACGAAATAAAATTCTCTTTGATTATCTGAAGAGAATGGGTGCTTTCTCACCAATCAAAACAGAACAGAAGTGTAGAAGTCTGACGAGACTAATACTGTAGATTAAGAGTACTGCACAAAAATGTGCAAAATTTCAAATGACTGGATATTTCTACAGCAAGATATTACGGATAACAGTTCTACAGCTTAAAAAAACCTACGATTTGGAAATAAAAAAATGAAGAGTTATGTAACTTTTTTAAAATTCACTTTATCGAATGATACATCTTGTTAAAAAAAAGTTGACACAGTTCGAAATGAAGCACAGGTCAGCAGTATCTTTACAAGACTAAAAAACTAAATCAAAGACTTTCTTTTTAAACATCCCCCCCTTTCCCCCTGAAATGTTATTATGAGCAGTATGGCGGGAAGGGGTGACGTCGAAGCAGAGTCCATTTTGCGGCGAGAAGCTACCCCAGCACGTGTCTTGCGTTGAGCTGCAGGACTCTGGCAATTTCTCCTTGCACCTGTCAAGCAATCCTGAACAAGATGGTGGTTCTTTGCTGTGGTGTCTTCTCTCCTTGATTCTGAATCCTTGAGGGATCTGTAAATAAAATCCTTCAGATGCCTCATCAGTCAGGATTCTCGTTCTTATTTTTCGGGTTAGATTATTAAACTGTGAAGTCTTGGTCCACCTGGAATAATTTGCTTTTAATTTGCTTTGTGTGTAATAGTCCCACTAAGTAGTTGTTAGCTAGGAAGTTAAGAAGGACTTCTCAAGTGCCCTGTATGGCTCAGAAGAGACTCCATGGATATTGAAGGGCTGTAGTAAAAATCCAGAATGGGTCAGGGGTTTCTACGTTGCATAGTGGTCAAAGCTGCCCAGGTACTCTAGTGCGGCTCGATAGCAAAACTGATACTGATCCTGCGGGAGATAAGACGGAGAAAGGTGAGAAGGTTCCGTGAGTCTATTTTCATAGAAAAATAAAAATAAGAATCAATATCGGAAAACAAAGGTAGATCTACATGGAGGGACAGCCACTGCATTTGTCAATCAATTCAATCCAATGACCCATCGGTTAGAGTGAATGAAAAACAATTAGCCACACGGGCTGTTCATCAACTCCACCAATCGATTTGACTAAAACAGCTTCTCAATCCCAAGTAGTAGCAGGTCCTAGAGAACATTACCTTCTAGACAAGTGTCTTTCAAGTAGTGTCACACCATCGCCACCAACTGAACATGCAAACTGCAGATGCCACATGAGCAGATAATTGTAAAAGTCATACACACAAAGGTTTTACGATGATCTGCCTATTTACGACAACAGATTCTCAGTTTGCATACTTAGTAGAGTCGGAAGCAGATACGAGCCGACCTGAGAAGAGTCTAGATTTATTTATCTTCTGGGCTACTGCCAACTGAATTTGAATTTTTTTTTTCTTAAATTATGATCGGGCGGTAGACCTTTGCTGCCTGCAGTCAAAATTACTCACAATCATTTCTGATGTTCATATATAAGATAAAAAGACAGCCAAAAAAAATAGATGGCGAGGGAGACCAGGCACACAAAGCCATTTACACCAGGCTCTGGACTGTCAAGCTTTTCATCCCTGAAAACGGCATCACGAGATTGGCTACCCACATCAAAAAACACCTGTGCCATTTGGCCTAATTTAGTCTGATTGCTAGTTGTCTGTTCTAGAAAGGCACACACTGAAATAACACAGTATGAAACATGCTTTTTTCAGATGAGGAAGAACACTGTCATATTGGAATAAATTGGAGCATTGTTGGAGAGATGGAAAAATTACAATTTACACATGACTATAGGGAGAAGAAAAAGTAGGATTTTTTCCCCCATAAAAGAAACCTATTTTCAGTAGCCAATGGGGCTGAAAGTAGATAGTTTCTATTTTGCTTGAATGTGCATTTTTCCACAATAAAAATGGTAATGCAATATAAATGGAGTTTTCCTATCTTGTCACAATAAGTTGCCAGGCTAAGTGTGAAAGCTTTTCAAACGTCCCATTTCCCTCTGTCACCCCCAACACCCATTAAGTTTCTCAGGCTAACATAATGTTTTGAGTATTGCAAGCCAAATGCTTGCGCTGCTTCGAAATCAAAGTCTGGAATATATTGAGGCTGATGAATTTAGGAACACATATAAATTGCATAATTTGGTGGCCTTTTGTGAACCCTAAACACTGTCATTAATATGGGTCTGAGAAATGAATGCTCAATAGACCAGACTGGCTAAATCACGAACTCATATTATTATGAGAAATATCCAAATTTTCATATCAATTATTGGAATAGGAAATGAGGGGCTCATTTATCCAGGATCCAAATAATTTGAATGGTCATTGTTAAAACATACACGACAGAGCCGCTGATGTCTCTGCCGGCCCACGGAAAGAGAGGCGAGGTGTAAAATGAGTCGAGGGTGTGTGACCTGCCAAGGATGATGCTTTTTGTTTTTTGAGTTGGAGTCTCACTCTGTCGCCCAGTCTGGAGTGCAGTGGCCGCTTCCGGCCACCGCAGCCTGGACCTGCTGGGCTCCGGCGATCCTTCCGCCTCAGCCTCCCGAGTAGCCGGAATTACAGGCGTGCGCTACCAAGCCTGGCTGATTTTTTGATTGATTGTAGAGATGAGGTCTCGCTGCCAAAGCGGGTCTCGAACCTGCGGACTCAGGCAATCCACTCACCTCAGCCTCCCAAAGGCGCGGGATGACAGGCTGAGCCACCGAGCCCGGCTGGATGATGCTTTTTAAAATTTTACTTCTATTGATTTATTTTTATTTTAAAGACGTGGGGTGCGACTCAGGGTTGGCATACAAATAGTCATTGTGCAGGTAAAGTTTGGGCCTCACTTTGGTCCCCACTTCAGCTGGTTTGAGATCAGGTACCCTCAGGGATGAAGTGTGCCCCTCACATCATACTTTTCATATATTTACCTATGAATAGGTGCAATATATATTATATTAACATAGATCTAGTGAATTACATAAAACTGCCATTTTCTAGGTCCCAAATGGTCCAGTGGTGACAGTGAACATGGCTCAACCAAATGTCTCATCTGACGTAATTTCCACAACGAAACCAAGACATTGAGTCTGTCATCTCTTTTAAACAGGGGGAAAATGAGGTTCAAAAAACAATTCAACATCCTGATGCTTTCCGCACCGTATTTCATGTCGGGTGTAGACAGTCTCTACACTCTAGGAAGTCCTGGCTAGCAAACTGTAGGCTCTTGAGATGGGAAAATTGAATGGGATTTTTCTCACCTCTGTCTGTACCATGGCCGGCCGTTGTGTTCTTAACATTTTGACGGTCTGGAAGATATCTACAACTCCTTCATATCTCATTCTTTCCAAAACAATGCTTAGTGTTATGAAGACGCCAGTTCTTCCAACGCCCGCACTGTCACAATAACAAAGGCAACATTACTGGATGAGATGCTCACGGTCTTGACCATGTTAGGTGGGGACAGACATACTTCCACCAGCTTCCAGATTCCTTGTTTCCTCACTGCCACGTTCAGAAAAATGTGGCCTCAGGTCCACTAAGTGATTACTCTTGGGATGGTAACAGCATGTGTTATAATGGCATGTGAGAATGAACATAGAGCAACTGGGATTACATCTCATAAGACTTCTCAGTCTGGGTTATATCTCATTTTAGAAAGACCAAGAAAACATAAATATTGTAAAACAAATGAAAAAGAATAAAGAAAACAGAAGTTTATTCTATGCATGGAGATTCTGAAATTCATACTTTGCCTATTTTATATTTTTAATGTATGAAGTAATTCAGAATAAGGTAAAATAAATTTGGCATCTTCAACTTTCCTAACACATTATTCACTTTTTTATAGTCACTTAAATCTGTGCGGGATATCCCATCACCTAGACATATGGGTATATAACAAGGTATAGAAATTATTCAAATATTGCCATTGGTTATGATATGAGAAAAGAGATTCTATAACAGGGTTTTTTAAAATTTCTTTTTTTATAATATGGGATTTTCATTTAGTCTTCAGGAAGATTTATAGCTATCCTGTAAGTATAAGTACAGATTGCATAAATGTTATTTTTTTCCTGTATCCTGAAACAAAGCTTTTAACAGCTTCCCAGAGGGGTCTCTAATCTAAAACAAAAATGGCTAAGAGTCACTAATCTCTGAACTTATCTACTATTTTTAGATGACCAGCAGCTAAAACCCTAGGATTCTTTCTGCTACACTAGCAAGGTTTTGCTTTTCTCTATGCTGTCTTAACTGTCTTAAGATAATTCTGGAATCTCCACGCAGAAAGAAAGAAAATTAATTCATAGCTCCTGTGCACTTAAGAAATAGGAAAGCATCTGGAGATTTAGGTAATGAGGAAAACTGAATAATCTGAAAAATCCCTACATTTTTGGATCCTAATTAAACAGCATGTGTAACACTTGGGCACAGGCTATGGAAAATGGATGGATTCATTTACTTGGGGATGTAGCTGACAGGCATATATAAATAGCATGTCCCTTTATAAATGGGATTTCTAAAAAGTCTAAACAGAAATGTGAAGTGAGGGCTTTACAATCCGTGGGCAGTCTTTAAAAAATTACTTAGGATGTCTAGTAGCAGTGAAGGCTTCTGTTAAGATCAAGGAGATGACCTTGAAGTCCCTGCCATCCTTGAAAGTATCTCTTAGTTGTGAGAGACCATAAATTATAACCTTTTACTTGAATGGTCCTGGTACTCTGGAGTCTATCTTACCTTTTGCTCAAATGTAACAAAAATGTTGGGCGTCTGGTTTTCTAAGTATTTTTTAAAAAGGACAAACATTGTTCTTAAAACTTCTGACATTATTGACTTCATCATGTTAGTTTAATAAGTTATAAATAAGTGGTGTTTTCAGAATATTCCCAGATAAAATATCTAGACGTGTTCGATATACATATAAGATATGTGAATAATATGTCATAGAATTTTACTAGAGGAATGCTTAAAACATTTTGTGATTATAAAAGCAATGAGAAATAACAAACACGTGTATATAATTATACTTATGAAAATACCTAAAACAAAGAATACGTATTAAAGATACCATGTTCCATATAGATTATTATTGGAAAGTTTAATTTAGCATTTGGACCGATTATGTGTAAAACTGGAAGAAATAACCAGGCAATTCAAGCCCAATGTCTACTAGACACTTTGTCCAGATACAGGCATTATTGCACTCCACTGTATTGTACTTTACAGATATTGTAGTTTTTACACATTGGCAGTTTCTGGCAACCATGTACTGAGCAAGTCTACTGGTGCCATTTATGCTCATGTCACATCTGTGTCACATTTTGGTAATTTTTGCGGTATTTTCAAACTTTTCCATGATCCTTATGCCTGCTATCCAGTAATGTTGATATTACTCTTGTAATTGTTTTGGGATGCCACAGACCATGCCAATGTAAGACCGCAAACTTAACCGATAGATGGATACTGTGTGTGTCCAGACTGCTCCACCAATCAGCTAATCCCTTGCCATTCTCCCTTTCCTCAACTTCCTCTTCCCTGACAATATTGAAAATGCGCCATCCATATATATCACAACCCTACAATGGCCTCCAAGTATTCAAGTGAAAGGAAGAGTAACAAGTCTCTTACTTTAAATCAAAAGCCAAAAGTAATTAAGTCTCACGAGGAAGACAAAAGCTAAGGCAGGCTGACACTTAGGCTCTTGAGTCAGTTAGTACAGTTGTGAATACAAAGAAAACATTCTTGAAAATTAAACATGCGGCCGGGTGTGGTGGCTCAGCCTGTCATCCCAGCAGTTTGGGAGGCCGAGACGAGAGGACTGCCTGAGCCCAGGGGTTCGAGACCAGCCTGGGCAACTTGGTGAGACCTCGGCTCTACAATAAATCACAAAAACTAGCCCGGTGTGGTGGCGTGCGTCTGTAGTTCCAGCTACTTGGAAGGCTGAGGCGGAAGGATCGCCTGAGCCCAGCGGGTCAAGGCTGCAGTGGCCAAGAATGAGACTCCAACTTAAAAAAAAAAAAAGAAAGAAAATTAAATGTGCTACTCCAGTGATTACAGCAATGACAAGAAAGTAAAACAGCTTTATTGCTGATACGAAGAAAGTTTTAGTGGTCTGGACAGATCAAACTAGCCACAGTGTTCCCTTAAGTCAAAGCCTAGGCCAGAGCTGGGCTCTACTTTCCTTTAATTCTGTGATGGTTGAGAGAGACGAGGAAGTTGCAGAAGAAAAGCTGGAGGCTAACATAGGTTGGCTCATGAGATTAAAGGAAAGAAGCCATCTCTACAACACAAAACTGCAAAATGAGCAGGAGAAGTTGCAGCAAGTTATCCACGCGATGTAGCTAAGATCACTGATGAAAGTGGCTGCACTAAACAAGAGTTTCAGTGTAAGTGACACGGCCTTTTCTTGGAAGAAGGGGAGATCTAGGACTTTCATAGCTTGAGAGGAGAAGTCAAAAGCTTCTAAAGCTTCAAAGGACAGACTCTAAAGCTTCAAAGGACAGACGGACTCTCTTGCTAAGGAGCTGGTGACTTAAGTTGAAGCCAGTGCTCAGCTACCACTCTTAAAAACCCTAGGGCCCTGAAGAGTTATGCTAAATATACTCTGCCTCTGCTCTACAAGTAGAACAAGGAAGCTTGGGTGACAGCATATCGGTTTCCAGCAAGATTACTGAATATTTTAAGCCCATTATTAAGACCTACTGTTCAGAAAACATTTCTTTCAAAATTTTCCTGCTCACTGAGATCTGAGGGAGACAGACAAGGAGATATGTGTTTTCATGCTTGCTAATGCCACATCCATTCTGTAGCCTGTGGATCAGGAAGTAATTTATATTATCAAGTCTTATTATTTGAGAAATGTATCTCATAAAGCTATAGCTGTCCTAAATAGTGATTCCTCTGATGAATCTGAATTAGGTGCATTGAAAAGCTTTCAGAAAGGATTCACCATTCTAGATGCCACTAAGAATGCCTCATTTATGGGAGGATGTCAAAATTAGCAGGGGTTTGGAAGAATGTGATTCCAGTCCTCATGGATGACTTTGAGGGGTTCACGACCTCAATGGAGAAGGTAACGATAGATGTGTAAAAACAGCAAGAGAACGAGAATTAGAAGTGAAGCCTGAATTGCTGTGTTCTCATGATAAAACTTTTAATAGATGCGGAGTTGCTTCTTGTAAGTGAGCCAAGAAAACAGTTGCCTGAGATGAAATCAGCTCTTGGTAGAGATCCTGTGAATGCTGTTGAAAGGACAATGAAATATTTTGGATAGTATATAAACATAGTCAATAAAGCAGGATTGACTCCAATTTTGAAAGAAGTTCTCCTGTGGGGAACATGCTATCAAACAGCACTGCATGCTGCAGAGAAATCTCTCATGAAAGGAAGAAACAACTGATGCGGCAACAACTTCATTGTTGTCTTATTTTAAGAAACTGTCATAGCTACCGCAGCCTTCAGAAACCACCACCCTAATCAGTTAGCAGCCATCAATGTTGAGACAAGGCCCTCTACCAGCATAAAGATTGCCATTTGCTGAAGACTCAGATGATTATTAGCAATAAAGTGTATTTTAAATTAAGGCACATGCATTTTTTTTGAGACGATGCTATTGCACACTTAACAGAATACAGTATAGTATAAACAAAACTTTTATATGTACTGGGAAGTCAAAATTTTTATGTGACTCTCTTTATTGAGATATCCTTTGTATCGTAGTGGTCTGGAAGCAAACCTTTAATACCTCTGAGGTACACTTGTGTTTGATTCCATGTGTCATTTCCTATATGCTCTTTGGTTGAATAATGCAAATTATTTTTGACAACTCAACACAAAACAAACGTGTATAAATAAGGTGTGCTTCTTATATAACATACTACACCTGAGAGACAAAGGACGCTAGAAAGAATTTTAGACGTCTGTTGAGACCGAGGTCCAGAGAAAATTTCCTAATGTCATGAAGCTACAAAATGGTAGAATTAGGACTAGAACGCAGATATGTTGGCTCAAGCCTAACATATATCCTATTTTGAAATTCTGCCTATGTCTATACCATGTCAAGAACTATCATGTTCATTTTGAAGCTAGCAAGGGGAGATTTAGACTTCCAGTTTCTAGAATCCTAAAATGTATTATCAGTGTAAATAAAATTAAGTGAATTCCTTTTGCTAGAAGGTTTTTGCTTAGCAACTTCCAAAAGCACTAAATTTATGGTGAATGTCTGAACCATTTACTTGTTATTTCTATTACCCTCAATGACTTGAATTATAAAATACTGTAGAAACGATTGAAAATAATTAACTTGAAGGTGTTTCATTTTCTGATATAGCAACAATTTTCAAACAAATTGCATTTTTAGCTGAGGTACCATTCTAATCACTTATTGACTGGCAAGAATTAGTATTGTCATTAAGGCTTGATAGATGTTTATAGTTTTCCCAAGAAGACAAACACAGGAGAGAGATACAGAAAGTTATCAGTGCAATGCTGAGAAAGCAAAGCAAATAAGAAATGACTAACAAAACAAGTTATCAGTAGGGGGTGTTCTGACAATTTCTGTTAAGGTAAAACTGGCAAGGAAAACTGGCAAGGAAAACCGGAGTTTGATATTTTTTATTTTTTGCATGAGGTAACTTTTGGGGCAAAAAATTTTTCCTCTGATTATTTTCATTTTTATAAAGACAGAGAGAAATGAATCCTGCTTTAAATTTCGCAATATATTTTTGAGAGCAAAATTTTATTTGTGCAGATCTACAACAAACTTGAATAGACAATGAACAAACACCAGCACTTATTTTCAGAGTCATCATTGCTTGAATCACAAGTGGAATCTTAATCAATCTTGATGCTTCCCTTACCTGCAATGGACTGAAATGGGCCCGTCCTGGCCAAACTGCTCTTTTGTTTTATGGACTTGGCCGATGAAGTCAATGAATCCTTCTCCAGACTTCGGCACTCCTTGCTCTGGCCAGTCAGTGAACTGGAACTGCCTCACTGTTCGGGACTGGCCGTCCTTTGGGGGAAAGCCACATGCCCGGCCACAAAGGAGAATGCCAGAAGGATTCAGCAAGCACACAGACCAGAGGAGCGGTCGCGTTCATTTTTTTTCCCCAAAATAAAAAGGACAGGAACAGTTAGGAACGTATTTAACTGGAAACTTAGTTGTGTGTGTGTCTTATCTGCTATGCATACCGCCTACATTCCCATGTGTTTAAATCACACATTTACTTGTTCTCACAATGCCCAGTTAAAACCCTAGGTTTTCAGACAGCCGTATAGCACATGCTTCTGAGACCCAAGGTGTGGGGTCATAACCATGGGCCACATCCACATCCATTCCGAAGTGGGACATGTATACTCTATTTCAAAAAGTTCAGAATTCCATAACTTCACACTATTGGAATGAGTAGCCAGGCATGTCACCCAGACCTGAGATTTTGCTCTTGTCATGATAACCTCACATCTGCTGTGCTTGCTTATATCTGGCATTGTCAAATGACAAATGGTGACATTTAACGGATCTGACACACACCGAGTAGTTGCTGTTAACCTGGATGCCCCACGTGTCACAGAGGAATAAAATTTCTAGCCATGGTAGGGAACACGGTATGTGCCATGTGACTGTGCGGTTAAGCAGGCAGTCCAGCATCCCTCAAGGAGGCCAGAGATTATTAGCAAATAAATTCCCTTTCCTGAAACAAAACTCTTCCTGGCTGACCACGGGAATTAGAAGGCTGGGGGGAGCTTTAACACAGACACACTGAAAGGCAGAAGGAAAAAAAAAAATACCGGATGCCACAAGAGTCTTTCTTTTCTACAGCAATTAGGCAAAACAGCTCTGGCTCATGGAGTATAAATGGGTTGAGAAGAAGACACTAAGGCACTTCTGACTCCTTCTGGAATTTTAAGGTGTTTTTACAAGTGTATCAAGAGCAGAAGGGACCCTCTGTTTACAGAAGCAGAAATAACAATTTTGCCCATCTCCCCTGTCTCCTCAGAGGGGAGAGAGAATCCAAACCCCAAGCTTAGAGGGACTGATCCCATTTGAACATGCCCTGTTTCCAAATAGCCTCTTCCCTTTGAAGAGGCTTCAACTTGTTCCTCCTCATGTTTGTTAACACTTCTTTCCCCGTCAAAGCTCTTTTGGATACAGGCTGCATGTTCCCAATGTTCTGAGTGGACAGAGGCTCAGTCTTTCCCATTCAGTCATACCGAGAAGAGTCATAGGGGTTCAACTTGAGATGGGCACACATTAGCTTGCCCGGGGGTTTTCATGGGCACAGTGCAGTTACCTGACTGCCATTATTAGGAGATGGAGGTCAAAAAGGAAGATTATACCAACTTTGTGAGAGGGCTGAGGAATACAGAAATAACTATTTGGCCCCATAACTAACTTGTGGATGGTTACCATAGAGGCATAATTTACTTCCCGCTGTTTCCAGAAAAGATTTGGGAAGCAGAGGAAGGAAAGCCAGAGCCTAGGAGATGCAGATTTGTTCTCCTCTGGATGTCCTGGGGATTTCATTTCAAACCACAGTTGCTTCTGATAGCAGGAAGAGGTCATGTGCACAAACCTTTCCTATCTGGAGAAGAGACCACCGATTCCGTGTAAAGGTAACCTGGTGAACAATACTGTATTCTCAGGTGCCCACCTGCTTTCTAAACCAGGAAGTTGAGAGGAGAAACACACCAGGAGCCCAAGCAGTAAATGCTGTGGTACCTAAGAAAATTGTACAATCCCGGGGAGACTTATTTGGTACGCATATGAGCAAGTTCCGGTTTCAATCTTCTTTTGCTTATTGTGATCGGATTTAAATCGGGCATGTGGGTAGCAGTAAAGGTATCTCTGGCATTGGCAGGGCCTGGCTCCTTCTCGTCTTTATCTTCAGGAATAGTTGGCGAGTTGATCTAAGATGCACTTAGGATTTTCACTCGCATACCTCACTTCAAATTCTGAAAACCAGTTGTTTTTTTTAACAACAGGGAGGGTCACCCAAGGCATGCTTGCCAGAGCAACTAAAAAAAAAAAAACGAGACCTGGGGACTTAACTGCTGCCTTGGGTACAGTCACCTTCAGGGTAGTTAATATTTTAGACTTTCTGGGATTAACAGGTCTGTCACCTGGGCCAACCCTCCTGCTAACCAATTTCTCCTTTACTTAAGGTCAACAGCCAGGGCCAAGCTTTGGAGATTAGCAGACAATCTCTAAACATAAATTTGGAGAGAGCTGTTTTCCAGAAAAAACAATGGATCACGTAAACAGCTCTACGCGAGAGTTATATTCAACCCACCCACTGTGACAGTTCCAAAAACAAAGCAGGTCTTTGAACCGACCCAGTCTCCCCTCAGATGTGTTTGTAATAATCATGGTTTGAAAGTGGCCAAAGGCAAAGATATTAAAGTTTTCGCATAGAACATCTTACATCAGGGCTGAACCTTGGACTCAGCCGTCCAGATAAGAAATGCAAAATGAAAATTAGCCAGCAAGGGTCGTGGGTGCACAGCTCTCACGGATAGACACATTAGCACACCGAGGAATAAACCATGCCAGGAATCAAATTAGAATGTGCAAAGCTTGTCAGATTTTTCTAAAGAATGCCATTTGCTCTGCAGTTTTAAAATCATACCAAATTAACCTTCGGGCCCACATGACCCGGAGGGCTTGGAAAAACAACAACATATTTACAGCCTCAAGTAATGAAGAAGTCAAAAAAGCTCCAAAGAGAATGAGCTGAGAAGGTGAATGTGAGCACAGCCAACCAATCTGTCCATGCTTCCCAGCACAAACGCTCACCATGCGCATCCCCAAAGTTGGGCTACCAGATGTTACGTCTGAATGGAAGCCAAACCTGGGTTTGTGAGTGTGATTGCCAGACAGAGAAAAAGTTACTCCTATATGAGAGAGAAAAAAAGTCCTCCTGGATGGACGATTTCTTTTCTCTTTGGGAGTATGGTCACTGGGCGATGGCTTCTCCCACAGAGATGTATTTTAGACTGCCCTTCATCGAGTGGTAAAGAGTTAAAGACTGCACCCAACTTACCCTGGCATCTGTGACCTTGAATTCCCTTAGGATATACTGAGGCATGTTGTACTCAGCCATGGGGTCTACCACAAAGTACTGGTACCTTGCAGATCGTTCTGCTGGCCAATACTGGTGACATTTCTCCTAAAAGGAGACGAGATGACTGTTAAACTGTACGGAGTATCAGCAAGGTTTTGTCTGTCAACTGTCTATTTAATTTCATTCTTTCATTCATAGTATTTCAAACTTCAAGGCAATTCCAACTGCAGGTGACTCATTTCTCTTTAAAACCACGAGTTCTCTGAGAATCGGGAAACCATCTGGTTCAATGTTTGCCCTTGGTCTCCAGCACAGTACCTGGCAGACAGTAGCCGCAAAATATACATCAGTTGAACTGAATACTTCATTGGGATAAGCACCGGCAGACCTACAAGTTATCCAAATAATTGCATCAGTCCTTGGACAGTGCTGGCCATGACAATCATACGTTGTACCACCACAGCATACTTGTACCACTGTGGTTTGGAATGAAGAGAACCATCAATGTAAAGCAGAAAGAAACCTCTGAATTGATCTGTGCCAACCTTACTTGTCAAGAAAACTGGGGCCCAGGCAGTTTTAATGACTTGGCTAAGCCTTATAGAGTCAGCAGCCAAATCAGAGTCAGTGATTTTCCTCATCTGATATTCTTTTTTGCTCTCTCTTTGGGATCTAAAAGTTTGGTTTTAGCTGTTCTTCTAACATTTAATTTACACAAAGAAGAGAGAGCCGGGCTCGGTGGCTCAGCCTGTAATCCCACGCTTTGGGAGGCTGAGGTGAGCGGACTGCCTAAGCCCATGGGATCGAGACCCACCTGGGCAACTTGGCGAGATCTCATCTCTACAATAAGTAAAAAAATTAGCTGGGCATGGTAGTGCGCGCCTGTAGTTCCAGTTACTCGGAAGGCTGAGGGGGAGGGGTCGTAGGAGCCCAGCAAGTTGAGGCTGCGGTGGTCGGGAGCGGCCACTGCACTCCAGTCTGGGTGACACCAGTCTGGGTGACAGAGTGAGACTCCAACTCAAAAAAAAAATTAAAAAAAAAGAGAGAGTGAGAATATCTCAAGAAAATATCTACCTATATCTAAGTGGTGTCTCTAATACTATTAGATAATAGTAGCAGAGTAATATTAACAGTATTAATAGGCCGGGTGCAGTGGCTCACGCCTATAATCCCAGCACTTTGGGATGCCGAGGTGAGAGGATTGCCTGAGCTCATGGGTTCCAGAGCAGCCTGGCCAACTTGGCAATAAAAAAAAAAAAAATTAGCTGGGCATGGTGGCGCGTGCCCGTAGTTCCAGCTACTTGGAAGTTTGAGGTGGAAGGTTCACCTGAGCCCAGCAGGTCGAGGCTGCAGTGACCATGAGCGTGCCACTGCACTCCAGTCTGGGCAACAGAGTGAGACTCCAACTCAAAAAAAAAAAAAAAGTATTAATAGTAGAAGATTCCTTGGGCATCTCTAATACTATTTTATGCATGTCTCAGAATAATTATTTTGTAAAATCTGAGATCATGTAAAATTTTTACACTTTATTTGATGAGGGTGCAAGGTAGGCAAGTAAGAATTTGCCTCAGGAACAAAAGAAGGTCAAGTCCCCTTCATACAGAGAAATGATGGCCCGTTTGCTCACAAAACTCCAGTTTGCCCAGAGAAAAAGGAAATGCAGAACAGCTGTGGGTCGAATAAAAGTCAGAAAGGGACACCTGCTTATTTATTTGTCTCTATGACAGTGCTTCCCTGGGCGGGGGGGAAAAAGAAGTGCTAGAGTTTTCTTCAAAACACACACACTAAAAAACTGGACGCGGCTTCAGAAATTAAAACCCAACAAGGAGTGATGGATGGTCCAGATTGTGTCCAGAGTATCCCGCATTTAAAAAAAAAAATGACACCGGTGACTTAAGTTATTCAAGTGAAAGCTTCATGTCTCCACAGGGAAAATGTCTTCTGAGGAGACACGCAGGGAGACACACTCACTCGGCCCATTTCACGCAGCTTGGTGAGCATCACGACGATGGTAGAATTGTGTTCCCAGAGCATCCGCCAGAAGTCTTCAGTGGTCTCTGCTAGGGGCCCCTGGGTAGCGATGTAGGCTTTCTGTTGTCTGAATTACAAAGGATGAAAAGAATGTGTGAATGTATTTCGAGAAAGGGCGAAAGCTCACATTTGCCATGTAGATATCACACCCAGTAACGGAAAAATGAAATGTATCATTAATACAATTGCAGTAAATACCTGCTAAGATTACATAATCAAATGAGGGCATTTAATATATTTGGGGCACTTTGCAAAAGAAATTGCTTGTTAATATTTTGATGTATGTCTTTATCATCATTATTTAAATTTTAGTGCAATGCTAATAGCTCAATTTCGTGAGTCATACAAATCACTTAAGATATACTTAGTTGTGCAACTTCATTTTCTAGAAATGAGTCTCATGCAATCTATTTAATTTGTGGAACATGGAATAAAACAGATTCTCTATTAATGCCTTCCAAATCCTAACAACTTCTGAAAGGAAAGTGCAGATGGCCAGATTAAACACTCCATAACTACTGCTTCATACTTCATGCAAAATAATAAAAAAGCAAATACCAAGGGACAAAGTGCTGACCTATGCAGAAAGAAAACGGCTTTGAACCGAGATGAAATTTATGCTGGTTATGAAACTAGGGTGCCTGTAAATATCAAGGCTTTGGATAGTCAGGGGAGCAAGAGTATATACCTGTATCCATCAATAAAACTGGCATTGATGTAATCAGATCCTTCCACTCCTCGGATAGGCTGCAGGCATACCCTTGTGGATTCATACGGCATAATATTAACAAGGCGATTTTTGAATTTATTACATGGAAGATTGGCACTGATGAATCTTGAGGTGTGAGCTTTTGAGCTGGCTAGACGCTGTTGAATGGGGAAAAAAAAATCCGACAAAGATAATTTTAGCTTTTGGTTGAATGCAGTGTACCCAAGATTTCTCTTTTAGATAGAACTCTTTTGTTTACTTTAGAATAAATGACTATTCAAACTGCCCTGCTTCGCGCTTCCTCCTAATCACTCCATGTAGCCTGCTGGATGTGTAGATGTTTTCTGAGAGTGTGATCTCTTGGTTTAAATTGGGATAAGAAAGGCCTCCGGGTATTGTTGGGAAGCAAAGAACAGGAGAGGAGAAGAGGGAGAAAGTGTTTCATAATCAACCACCTGAGGAAAAGGTCAAATGAAGCTTGTACTTCACAAATTTGAAAGGTTAAGAAAGCAAAGCCACTTCTCAAAGACAGTCCCAGAATGGCGTGCTCCTGCATAACCGTATCTCACCCAAGCCCGTACCTTAAATTCGAGCTCCATTCCCGTGACATTCTCTCCCGCTTCTATTTGTGTCAGCTTCTGGATGTAGGCATACAAGTTTCTGGCTGGCACTTCGGTATTTCCACAAGTCACTGCTTCTAACAGTGCGTCATGGATAAAGATGTACTGGTCTTCTGTTTGAACCATGTAATTCCTCTGGGCTCTCATTAAAGTTACATGGCCATAAATATCTACAGTTTTTTCATGCTTTATTCTTTCTAGCATGGCATCTATGACGATGAAACAACCAGTCCGGCCAACTCCCGCACTACGGGGAAAATAAAGGAAAAAGAAAAGCCCAAATAAACCTATCCGAAAATCAACACATAATAAAAGTAATTTGATGAACGAGATCTTACACCCATTAATTCTACTCTTAACAATAGCTTCTGTGATGACTTTGGAACACTCTAAAGTCAAAAGTATTATCTAGGCACAATAACCAGAGTGTAGGGAACAAAATACTGAGGAAAATTAGTTTGGCTTCAAAATAGAATAAACAAGTTAAATCAACAATTACTATGGTCCTTGATCATACAATACAAAATGAACGTTATTTTGAAACCATTATAAAAAAATAGAACCATTTAGGCTGTCTATAAAGTATTTTTAATATTGGTTAAGGTCTAAATAGGATATGTATTTTTTGCAAACCCTCTCAGTCTACATTAGTTCAATTTACACAAATATTGTTCTTCCGATCTTAAGATGAGACTTTTTCATGTCTCCTATTTCTCAAACCCTTCCAGTAGAGTACATTTATGTGTCAAATGTGGTTCGATTCAAATGATTTTCTCCTTCTGATCATACTTGCTTGGCTGGTAAACGTGTAATCAACATAAATAGGTATATATCGCCACCTTAGACACCAAGCAACTGACAGCCCCCTTCATTTGCTACATGACCCTGTGTCCTGTCATCTGTGTATCTAGGCATTCATTTATTTATCCATCCATCCATCCATCCACTGATCTATTCGGTTTTTCATTCAATGATCAAGGAAGTACTTTGCTAAGTGAAACAGGAGATATAGCAACAGAGATTACTTAGATCCTACCTTAAAGAGCTCAGAGTCTATCAAGGGTCATAACACTTTATGCAACCATTTATAATACAAGAAAGAACAAGGACATGTTGGTTTTGTGGATGACGTGGCATTTGAAATGGGGCTTGAAGGTCAGGAAGCATGGGGAATTAAGGATGTTGACACAGCAAAAGAGAAGAAAAGGCAATGGAAGTTATATGTGAAACTTTTTATAGGTCTGCCAAGGCACCTGTGCAAGAAATATACCCGGGCTCCAAAATGAATGAGTGCAATGAACAACACGGTGCCTGTCTCAACGGAAATGGCTGTTTCTCCAGTGCCGAGTAGCTGCAAGGTGGCAAAAGATCATTTTTTAAACAAAAAGATTATTTAATTTATAAAGGGTGTAGATCAAGGCCACCTTCCATGCAGGAACCCTGTGGTTTGTAGACTAGGATAAGAGGGAATTTGACACCATGACCATTTTACAATCGCTTTTACTTTTTAATGTACCATGCCACAGGGTTCCTGGATACTAAGACTCCATTCAAAGTTTAAACCCACCAACTGATATGATATGGAGATATCATGCAAAAGTCTTCTGAGACATAGTCTTAAAAAAAGACAGCACATACCTTAGCACAGACCAATGAGAAAACCTGACGCAAGCATTCGTTTCGTTAGCCTGGTGGTCCCAACGCACCAAGATCCATGAGGTCCCATTTTAATTAGTTTCTTCTTCTAAATAAGCCTGTTGGATGGCCAGTTTTCCCCGTCACACTGCATCTTGTCCCTTGCAGGTGGGATGAATCACCTCCTGCCCCAGATCCCTTGGTGCCTCAGATACCCCTCTCCACTACACTCCCAGGTGTATTACCAATTTAGGGTCACCATCCCTAAGCAATAGTGCATATCTTGAGAGCAAGGACTGCATATTTAATTATATTTGTGTGCCCTGCACCAAGCGTACCATCGGTGTTCAAGAATTTTATGGAATAAGTAAATGAAGTCATGAGATGCCTTACGTAGTAAGCAGCCCGGCTAGGTGAGGCAAGCCTACTTAGAAAGCAGGACTCTTCAGTTAGTGAAAGAAATCCTACATTTGACAAGGGTCTAGAACTCTGCAGGGAATATTGGAAGAGTTCTCTGCATAGTGTTTACTCAGGAATACATAAACAGGAAAAACATCAGTCTCTGTGTCTTGGTCTCCTGATATGCCATTGGATTGTAGTTAAAATAACTTCAGGAAACCTTAACCTGGAAAATTTCTACTTTCCTGAGTTTCTTTTAAACCCCATGTTTGACGGCCTCTAAGACCATGAGTAACGTCTTTCATTCTTTCCGTGATGTCTTTCTAAATTGTCTTCATCCCAGATGTGCATTGCTTTTAACTGAACACAACTGCATGCAGTTGTTCCCCGTAGAAACCACACTGTAGGTCTTATAACTGAGCTCTGTGTATCAAGTCAATTCTAGATAATGGCAGAGAGATTTTCTCAAAATATGTATCAGGGACCATTCAAATGTCTGGCTGATGCATGGTTCTATATTCTGGCAGGAAGATACCACAGAATTGTGCAAAACTGGTAGGAATAACTCCAATTCCAAACAGTACCAGCCTCTTTGGGATGGTGATGACATATATATTTTCAAAAAAGTGAAAGAGAAAAAAATATGTGCCTGAGTCTAGATTATGAATTGTGGGATGAAAAGAAATAAAAGAAGAGAGACTACAACTTAGTTTCTTTCCCCCTCCAAAACAAAATGTCATTAACTGCCCAATCTTGCTATCCATCTGGAAGATAGGGAAGGAGCTGACCCTTGGAACTTAGGTGTCACCTCCCCTCTAGGGTGAAGAGCTCTTGGGGACTTTAAATAATAGTCATGTGTTTATTTATTTATTTATTCCTTCATAATATGTTGTAATCAGATTTTTATATCAATACATATCAATACACATTATTTTTGTAAGCATGTAGTATTTCATTTTATGGATAAATTAACATGTACTTTTAATATACTATAGTATTGGACATTTAGACAATTTCCAGCATAGACATCATTTTTGTATCTTTATATAAGAGCAAACACACACATATATATGTATTAATGTATATGGATGTCTAGATACATATATTTATATGTGCACTCATGTGTGTATATGGGTGTTTGCGAGAGCACCAGGCATGGATTTAGGTGCCTTATATAGATTCACTCATTTCATTAGTAAAAGTTTCAGGAGGTTGCTTGCGATCACCTTAGACATGTATTTTAGCTTGAAGCACCGGTGGCTGTGTGTCCTTGAAAAAGTCACTTAACTTCTCCAATTTTTCTTCCATCATGAGATGACAATTAATCTAGTTAAGTTTCTAGTAGGTCCAGTTGTCTAGTATGTCTTCAGGCTAAACTGAACATAGCAAGTGTTTTGCAAACATAACAGAAGAGGCAGTTACACTGTAGGTACACACTCCCTTTTCAAAGTCTACCTCTGAAGTTGACAACAAGAAACAGGAAATGTAATACTGGAAAAGTCAGGATGCAACCACTATGGAATCACTTGAGGTTTGGCTTTTAAAATCTTGCTTTGATCTACCTCCTTGAGTTGCTCTTCCTTTTCTCTGCCTAGCTCCAATCACAATACCTTACATCAGAGGAACTTTCTGCTTCCACATAGTGTCATGGCAAACAAGATGGCAGGCAGTCCAGGGCCTTCCCATCACAGTGCTTGGTGCCTGGGAGGCATCCGGTTACCTTTCCCGTTCTCTGATTCATCATGTTTTGGGAAGAGCCCTGAAGTCACACAGCTCATGATAGATGGCCAAGCAGCGACTCAAATGCAGGTTCTGAGAGGCTAGAACTTAGCAACCCTTTTCCTGGTACCCAATTGCTTCACACTGCTTTCTATCATCCGGGTCGGCAGTAATTTGCCACATGTGATGACTTTCTTGTAGCCTACTCTTCTATAATGTTGCTTTAGCAGTGTTTGACTCTCGTTCATGCAGTTTCCTTGAAAAGTCTCTCTTCCTCGGTTTCTATGACATGAGTGGAGAGAGAGAAACAGCAGACACCTCTCTGGGGTTCATGGTAGCAAGGAGAAGATTTTGTAAATCATCCCAAACACAAAATAACCCCAAACATGTAGTCCAGGGGATTAGCCCCAAAGAACTGTATCATGGTCCTGTGTCATGGTTCCACTGATTCTCCAGCAGGGCAGAATTCCTATTCAGTTCAAAACCAAAATCAAAGACAAACTCTAATTGCCATCTTCAGAAATCTATCGGCAACCCTCAGATGTTGCCTCAGCATGTTTTGCGTTGTTTTCGTTTGACGCCTGCGTGAATTATCCACCTGCTTCTCTGGGTTGTTCCCCTATATCTCTTTCCCAGACTTACATACCCCCTGCCAGTTCTCAAAATGTGGATAATGGCCCCAAATTTCTGTCCTTTCTCTCAACGTCCTTCCTGGCTCTGTGACCTCCAAATAAAGAATTCCTGAAGGGGTGGTTCTCTCAGCCCACACGAAGACCTGTGTTTCAAACGACCCTTAAGTCTCAAACATGAGCAAAATCGAAGCTCCATCAGCATCGTCTCCTCTCACATCTGCTCCTTCCACTCTCAAATCTCTCCTGACACTCAGGTCCAAAATGGAAAAATCATCTCAGACTATTCTGGCCTCTTCCTTGCAAAATAATAAATTATAAATTTATATATTCAACATCGACTATTTTATTCAACTTTCCACTGATAATGTGCTGGAGTTGTCAAGAGCCAATTACTCAATTCTCAGGAATTTTGCCTAAATAAGTACATTAAAAGTCAAGGTAATATTCAATACTTCTTGCTTCTTAATTATTTTACATTCTTTTATGTTCTTGAGGTGAAAGTATTATATACAGCCATCCTGACCCCTCTTACCTGTGATTTCACTTTTTGTGGTTTCAGTTATTTGTCCCCAACCGAAGTGAGAAAAGATTCAGTAGAAAATTCCAGAAACAGACAAGTTTTCGATTACACACTGTTTTGAACAGCACGGTGAAATCTCACACCTTACTGCTCCATCTTGCCTAGGACAAGACTCATCCCTTTGTCTAGCATAGCCCCACTGCCTATTCTATCCACCCACTAGTCACGTATTAGCTGTCTCGGTTATCAGATTGACCACCGTGGTATCGTAGTGCTGTGTTCAAGTAACCTTTATTTTACTGAATGACATCAAAGTGCAAGAGCAGTGATCCTGGCAATCTG